CAGTTCAGCCCAGTTTACTGTGGTCAATATATTTCTCATACCATCGAAGTTTGCCTTACTGAAATATAAAACTTGGTTTAGGTAAACCTGCAGATGAACAATGGGAAGTATTTAAAAAAGCATTTGATACAACAAGAACAAGTACATTCCTCTAAATAGCAAAAGCTCCAATCTTGTAGATAAACAACCATGGTGGACAAAAGAGGTTAGAGGCTGTATCCACAGTTCTCCCAGTCTATATGAAAATTAAAATCTCCCATTATAACCACATTGCTTTTGCTACATGCTTCCCTGATCTCCGTATTTATACATTTCCCCACAACATCACAACTCTATGGAAGTCTGTAGACTTTTACCTCCTTTTTGTTCCTTATTCCACTCACAGTGTTTCCACTACCTGATTGTCCTTACTGAAATCTTTCCTTTCCACTGCTGAAATAGTGTCTTTTATCAATATTGCTATTCTTCCTCCTTTCCTAATGTCCCTGTCTTTTCTAAAGATCTTATAGCCTGGAATATTTACCTCCCGGTCCTGCCTAGCTTGTAACCAGATGTCTGTAATGGCTAATACATCATACCCTTTAAGCTGAATTTGTGCTTCTAACTCACTTGTTTTATTTCTTATGTTACGTGGATTTGTACTGGTTTAAAGCTTTTTCTACAGTCCTATTTATCCTTTTCGCTTGTCCCTCGGGCCCAACCCTGTTCAGGTGCAGCCCATCCCAGCACTACAGCTCACTCCTGCCCCAGTATTGGTGCCAGTGTCTCATGAAATGGAACTCCTCCTTCTCACACCACTCTTTCAGCCACACATTTATATCCCTGATCTGTTTATCTCTATGCCAATTAGCACATGGCTCGGGTAGCAATCCAGAGATTACCAGAGTTTTATTTTTAAAAAATGAACAGCGCTGTACATAAAATTAAAATTAAAACAGCCCTGATTTCTCTAGTCTGTCCCCCGAAGCCCTCGTCCACGCCTTCGTCACTTCCCGGCTGGACTATTTCAATGCCCTCCTCGTTGGTCTCCCCAGGTCCACCATACTCAAAATTCAACTAATTTAAAACTCGGCCGTCCGGATACTCATCCACCCAAAACTCCGCACCCCCATCACTGCAGTCGTTGCCAGGCTCCACTAGCTCCCAATCATGGAATGCATCGATTTCAAGATCCTCTCACTCGTTTTCAAATCTCTTCATGTCCTCGCACCGCCCTATCTCTCCGACCTGCTTAACCCCCACTCCACCACCCGCTGCCTCCACTCGGCCGGCTCCGGCCTCCTGTGTGTCCCTCGTCCCCTCCACCATCGGTAGCCATGCCTTCAGCCACTACACCCCGAAACTCTGGAGCTCTCTCTCTCAATCCCTCTGCCTTGTCCCCTCCCTCCCCAGTTTCAAATCCCGCCTAAAGACCTTCCTTTTTGATCGTGCTTACAGTCACCACCCCTTTCTGGCTCGGGATCAGACTCCACCACCGTAAGCGCTATGGGACGCTAACCTGCATGAAGGGCTCTATATAAGTGCAAGTTGTTGTTGTATAACTAAAGCCTATCTGTATGCAATATAATGTATAAATGTCGGTACCAAGCAAGGAAACCTGCCTTTATGTGAAATATTATCATATAAAGTTTGTGCTAAATGGCATTAGTTTGGGTTCATTAAGATGAAAGCGCCAGGAAACACACTTCGCTCCCATCACTGACACCCAGTATTAGCATTAAGCACTCACAGGTACAACTATGTGTTGCTTACAGAATACCTTTCCTCTCTACTCCATGGCAACAATGTACTTTAAATCCAACCTTCGAAGCAGCTGCTCCATTATGACATTGCAATTTTCTTCACTAACCATCATTCCTAACCAATACTGATTATTTAATGCCAACAGTTGCAACTTGCAGGCAATGGTGTAGATGTGGGTTGAGACAATTTAAGTGCTTTCACTTAGGACCGTTAGATTTTCACTGGACTGGACAGAAATTAAATCCAAGTCTCAGAGATGGAAACAAAACTTTTTCAACACTGTGACAAACCAGTCGATTTTGAAAGTGAGGTTTCAAATCATTACCAGTCGTTTAGGAGGTAGTATCCTTATTAAACCCTTAGGAACAGAAATTGATACATTTTGAATTGTAATGGCATGAAGAGAGTTTCACATTTGCATTTATATATGTAAACACAACGCTGAATCATCTCAGCAATTACTACCACATTGAAAGTAGGGAGATTATGGAATATTAAAATACGACCTAATACACATCAAAGCTCTAGAGATTGACCCGTGTGTCACATTGCATTCCAAAAAAAGAAGAAATGATTAGAGGTAATGCGTTCATTCAATATGCATATTAACAATACTAATGTCTACTCACTACCCACTGGCTAAGTTGAATAAAGACTATGTACGTGCATAGCAGCATGACAATAGACTGAAAACGTTTCCTTTATTTGGATGGATGAAATCGGATGGGTCATCGGCCTTCTTCATCTAAACTAATCTTGTGATCTCATTCCTGATTGACAGAGAATAGAGGGAGTAAAAGACCCATCACAGATGAAATTTATGGAGATGTTTAGCATTAGACCATGTGACTATCTATTGCAAATCACCACACAGCTTTGCCATTAGGATGAGATGTTGGGAATGTGTATGCCCCAGACTTTATAATGCCTGACACTGTGTTCTCTGTATCCATCTGAGTAGCTTTCTACATCACACTGTGCTGGATCTGATCACAGTCGACAGGTAGTTATTCCAGCTGACTTACAACCACCGTTAAACTACTGTTGAGCTCAATCGAAGAAATCTCAACGTTGATATGCAATGTTCCCCTCTGTCAGGCCAGACGTAACACAGCAAACCTTCCCCATCTAAGCAGTCACCATCACTCACCTTCAAGCAAATGAGCACATTTTCTTTTTTTTAAAAAATCCATTTGTCAATTCAAAATTTGTGGCAAAACAACACTCCTGTAAAGAGCCTGGATTCCTTTCTTAGATTGCTCACAGGGACTTGGGACTCGCAATCTTCCCATTCGGCTCCTGTTAACTATGCAAGTCACCTTAACAAGTAAGGTGGTCCGAGCTGGACAAGCAGTGGAAAGCTTACTATTAGGTTTGGAGACTCTTAAGCAAGCCAATGTGTCAAATACCTGGAAATTCCACAGCCAGGAACTCAATAATTAAAAGAAACCTTAGCCTAACCTGTGAAGCCTCCTCAATTTACTTTCATCAATTTAGAGCTACAACTATCTTGGGTGACATCCACACAGTTTCAGTCTTATTCAATACATGGGACATTTAATCTTCTGCATACTGTAGTGGAAATCCCAAATAATTACAAGTTATTCTCAACATCTGTTGGGACCACCTGCTTGAACCATGTTAGGTGGATAAGTTGTATTTAACTGGTTGGTCCATTTTGGCTCAGGCACTAGTTTCAATCAGCTTTTCTGCCCTCGGGAGACATGCTTTCAAATCTTGATCAAAAGGTAGGAAATGGATTTTCTTTCACAGACAAGCTGTTTCAGGTCACAAGTGGATTTGATTCTGCCTTTTTCACCCTGGTCTGCTGTGGGTGTCTGCCTCGATTAAAATTTTAACTTTTGTTTTGAGATTCCAGAACTCGAGAGCATTGTTCATCAGCCTGTATTCTGATCCATTTGATTAATAAGGTGCATACTGAATTCCACCGTTTTTTAGAAAATGAAGATAATTCTAAAACCAATATGTGGAAATACATTTTAAAGGAGAATCATGCTTGTAAACCTGAATTTCTTTCATCAAAAATAAAGGATGGCTAACTTTTCCAATCCCATTTAAAATGTTATATACCTGTATAAGGTCCTCTCTGAATCATCTTCCCTCAAGCCTAAGAACCCTAACTTGTTTAAGTTGTTGCTCTTAAGCTCATTCCTCTATCACTGGGGACCATCCTCGCTCTCTGCACTGCCTCTAGGAACTGGACTGCTCCTTTATGTCACGGTGATCAGACTGTAGGCAGTATTCAAGGTGAAGTCTGACCAGATCACTGTAGAGCCTGATAATGATGTCTGGGGATTTAAACTTAACTGATTTAGCAATATAGCCCAGCATCCTGTTTGCATAATACAACGTTTCAGAATTTTTATTTGAAGATCGTTATAAATAGAATACCTCAAGGGCATAGAAGTATTCATTAAAATTCTCTCTGAAAGATTTCGAATCGAGCCTATCCCTCTCCACAGTTAAAAGGCATGGGCTTAGTGCCTCTAGGGCTCATGAGGGACAAAGTGCGAGTGTGTTGGACCAGGATCAGCCTGGTAGAAATGTTCTTTGTTGTCAAATGACCTGTCGGCAACCACTGTCAATACACACATCTTCTGAGCTCAGGGGTGCTAACAGCCCCATTGCTTCCATGGCTGAGACTCTTGGGGGCCCCAAGCCATGGCTCTTGCCAACCTGCGCCTAATACTTTTCGGAATTAGGTAAGCAGGATGCATCCCTCCACAGAGAGAATGCGCATTCCATCCCAACAATCTACCTCTGGGTTTTCAATGTGTAGATGGGATGCATGAAAATCTCAGCTTGGTTTGGATACTCTTAAGCATGGTGATGGGTTTCCACACGTGTCAGACACCAGGCTGACCAAAAAAAAAATTGTCTGAGCCTGCAAATGGAATATACGACCTTCTGGTCTGGATGGGGTTAGGGCTGTAGCAACCAGATCTTTTTAACTGTGAAAGAAATGGGATGAGTGAGGCACCAGGTGGCACCTGTAAACTCCAACAGAAATCAGTATCTCCAGAAGAAGTAGGAAGGGAAAAAGGAACAAATGTAACCTGGAATATTCCAAGCAACTCAATGGCAAGTCTCTCAACAGATATTTAAGATAAATGGCCTACTCCCAGGTTCACATTTATTTTACAACTTCAAATTACAGTCCTCCTCACTCCAGCAGTTCCAAGTTGTTTCCCTCTCTAAGAGCACTCAAAACAGCCATTGTAAAATCCGGAACTTACCGTCCGTGTTTTGAGCTTGTGATTGCCAACATCCTCCAGGGCACGTGACAGCTGGAACTGAAAAATGGAGAGAAAAAGAATCCATCAAGATTAGGGCGAGGGAAACTACAATCACAAACATCAGACTAGCATCAAATGTGCAATCCATAATGAATTCAAGCTGAGATTTATAAACTGCATTAGATTTTGTCGTTTCTTTTAGTAAAAAGAGTGATTGCAAAGTGCAAGGATATCCTCTCAGTTGCCACTTTTTTTTTGTGAATTAAAATCAACTGCCAATGGTCAAATGCCAACATTTAGGGAATTGAGGTGATGTAGGTAAATATTTAACATTGCCCACCTTGACAGGAGCTTCCCTTATTGAAACTCATTAAACTCCTGGGCTGTCACATAGTGTTAGTTATTATAGCAAAACAATTCCTGCATCTACAAGGAAAGTTAAACTAAGTGCTAGAATTGTGAGATAAAATTAACAAGTACTGGGATCCACAGCCAGCCAATCGATATCTGATAGAGAGAGTAATTTTGCAGTTGTGACCTTTCATGGTGAACGATCACACTCGAAGTGTTAGTCGCTATCCTTCAGTCACTGGCAAATTGAGCCGCTGTGCAGCCCCATCAAGAACAAAGCTCTTTAAAAAGCTCCTCTGCACATTCTTGGCTATCTGACATTTTACTGAAGCAGATGGGAAATGGAGATCTTCTGAAGTCAAGATCTACTATTGAAATGGCACATAGTTATTCCACATGCACACTGACCAGGAGTCATTAGTTGTGGTTATTAACTTGGTCCCAACAGTTAACTGCTCTTCTACTTCTTCCCTCCTGTAGTGAGATATCAGATAGCCAAGGAATCATTAGTTATTCCATAGTGAAACATTATTCTTGGTGGGTCTTTTTTTTAAAATGATGCATGCCCATATCGTTACCTCTCCTTTACAAGAGCAAATCAGCAATAGCTGACTAGGCGTTTTGACAGAATATTCCAAGGTGTCTGGATTAATAGATTCATAATCACCATTAAGAAGGAACCCTGCCTTGAAGGCAAGTGCAACTCCAATTCGGCTCAACGAATGAGTTTATGATTCATGCACAGTTACTATATTTCACTCCATCAAAGCATTATAGCAGTACAAAGCTCCATTTGCCATAAATGCAGGTCTTTAGCTATCCACAGATGAAGGGAAACAGTAAATGAAATAACTGGGGAGCAATATAAATGTCTGATCAAATTAGTGGCAACCCTAATCAAGGAAGCAAGTTATATAAATCATTTAAATACTATACTATATATGCAGACACTTGAACCTAGCACGTTAGTCTATCCTAAACGCACTATCTGTGCTTTACGAAAGAAAGAATCTCCTCTCCAATGTGGATTTCCCTCAGACCTGCATTTCCTACCAGATTTGAAATTACAATTTTGCCCACAAAATATACTGTCAATTCATTTTATAGTATACTCTGTGAAGCTCTTTGAGACATCTCAAAGATATGATAAGGCGCTACATCAAATGCAAGGATTATTATTATTATTACTACCTGATTTAAAATTACAATGTCACTCACAGCACAGGACGGACCAATCAGATTCAGTCATGATTCCGCTCTGATTTATATTACGAGATTTTTGCATTGTTTTAGGAGCTGAGGATCAATCACAGGTGTGAAACCTTCGGCGTGCTTCCTCTATCAAAGATATGCCAGGTACTTGAAACCATTGTTCATTCTAGCTTGTATTTATTAAAACATTATTTATTTTAGATGGAAGATCTTTTCCACATTTCACCTACCTGGTTGATAGCCATTATGCACAATAAATATACAGTATAATAAAAGCCATTGGTACAGACACTCATATTATTCAGAAAGTTCCCAGTGCTCTCAATGAAGATGACTACTCTCAATACTTTATTGAGACTGCTGAGTCTTAATATATAAGTCACTCTCCCTGGTGACATACCAACTTGATGTGTCTCAGGTACAGAAGAAGCCACTTCAGCCCCATCTGTTATTAACTCTCTTTCAAATAATTTTTACAGGGTGACCAAAAAGTCGTGATGCCATTACAATGTCTAATAAGTCTTAGAGAAGAAATTATTTCTTTTAGATAATAGGGTAGCTGAAAATTCAGACTTTTTGGTCACCCTGTAGTAGAAAACAGATAAACGAGAACAGCTCATCCCAGTTCGATGTTGGACATGATCAGCCAAGAGCACTTTCAACCAGTGGATCAAACTGGAGCACGGGGCTGCGAATGTCTCATAATGTTGGCTCTAAGCACTCCTGGTATCTGCACCACTCTCCATCTCTAATGTAAAATTAAAACGTCACCCCAGCAGCACTCAGTATTAAATTAGACCAGTCACAAACCAGCCTGAAGCTCTCATTCCACTGGAGAAAGAAACCCCCTTTAGCATTCTCAAGGCTTTAACGTGTGGAAACAAAGGCCAAAATCACATCTGGAGTTTCAGAAGCAGTCCCTTTTATTTAGTGTTTCTAAACACATCCCATTGGTGCTGCACCCTTCACACACTCCAGTTCTGTAATCAATCATGGTACATCAATATCTTAAAGTCAGCAGCGAGGAACTCAGGTATGACTATAGATAGAGCAGGGAAGCAGCGGAAAATATGGGATGTGGAGCAGAAGCTACACTCAGCACAAGAAGAAATGTGCACAAGAGGAACTCTGTGCATGAGCTGAGTAACTCACTTTTCTGCTTCATTTGTGGTCCCTTACCTGATATGGTTAACCGTTCCCGATGGAATGCCTGCTTTACAAGACAGCATCAGGCTGCATGGCATTCCTAGTGAACTGTCTGTCCTTTGTAATTGTCCTTTAAATTTACTAAACTGCATTGCAATCAGCTAGTAAAAGCAGCCATTTGTAATTAGTCCACATGGGAGCAAATGCACCAAGTACAAGTCACTAATCATCTCAGGGACATCATCCTCTGCTATCTACAATATAATAATATGGAGTCCTGTAGTGTAGAGGTTAGAGCATTTGCCTCTCAAGTGAGAGGACCTGGGTTCCATTCCCAGGCAGGGCAAAACGTTGGGCAAGTTTTGTTACTCCACAAGTGTCTGTTTACCTAGCAGTAAGTAGGAACCCAGTTAGTTGATTGGCGGATCGCTTTTCTGGGGGTAATAAACCCTTAAAAAAAAATTTGGTCACTCAATCCACGACTATTAGTGAGACACTGCTGTGCGCAATTGATTGTTGCGTTTCACCCACAAAATATAGTAAATTCATTCGACAATATATTCTGTGAAACCCTTTGGGATGTTCAGAAGACGTGATAAGATGCTATATCAAATGTAACGATTATTATATTATAATGTATAATTTGGTCACTAGCCAGGACACCATGCTGTGCTCAGTGAAAGATTCAGCCCCATAAGGCTCAAACACTGAACTGTTTTTGACACTTTGAGTTCTGGTGAAATTACATTAAAAAGTCCCACTAGTCACTAGTGATGCAGGTTCAAAGGAAGGGCACACATTTATGGGAGAATCAGGTTTCTGTTTCTAGGCTATGGCTATGATTGAATAGAGATCTGACCTCATGGATTTGGGTTCAGAAAAAAACAGACACCAAGCAATGTCCCTTTCCACTCTTATGGCAACCCATGATAGATACCAAGGCTTTCATCCCTATTGAGCATGTAGTGAAGGTTAAAAAAGAAAGAAAGAAAGAAAGAAAGAAAGAAAGAAAGAAAGAAAGAAAGAAAGAAAGAAAGAAAGAAAGAAAGAAAGAAAGAAAGAAAGAAAGAAAGAAAGAAAGAAAGAAAGAAAGAAAGAAAGAAAGAAAGAAAGAAAGAAAGAAAGAAAGAAAGAAAGAAAGCAAGCAAGCAAGCAAGCAAGCAAGCAAGCAAGCAAGCATTGGGTTTCCAGTAATCCCAACACAGGGAAAGCGGCTTCCTGTACTGAAGCCAAACGATTATGCCATTGATCTGCAGTTATACCCAGTCACTTCACTTGTTGACATTGAAAGCAGATGAAATATTAGCATCCTGATTATACCTAACAACCTGGCAGGTGAGAAACAATCTGTAGATACACCAGGTCTGCGAACACTGTGAGTAATTGTGAGGTCACTTTAGTGATCAATGAGAATTAGGAAATGGGGAATACAACAGAACCCACAAATCACAAAAACAGCACAGTTTACTCCAGGAACTCTCATATATACAGAATGTTTATATATAGAATCCAGAAAAAAAACCTCACTACACGTTCAAGTAAAACACCACAGTGGTGCCCATAAGAGAACCCATGAGCAGAACTCTCCCCATTCTAAGTCAACTGGATAGAATTCCACCAACGACCAGTAGCTGGTTAGAGGAATAGAGTGCTGTAACAGGTAGGAATGGGTTAAATAAAGCCAAGTGACACCAGAAGATAGAAATCACACTGGTTTTTGGTGGAAAGCATTTTCAAGAGGCCAGTGTTTCTTTGCTTTGTCCATTGCGAGGCTGAGCTTGCTTGTAGCATGCAAGAAAGTGCATCAGAAAGCTTATTCATATCCTCCATACAATACTGAGGCATTTAGCACAGCCAAATAGAAATTAAACAATATATTTGAAAGGCAATCTGTTACAAAAGCAAATCAATTTTTAACTTATATGTTACATTCCAAAAGTACAGTACTTTTTCCCTTAAATTCAGACAACATTAAGTGGAGTGGAAAACTCTTGAAGGAATAAAATTTCATAGAACAGTGAAGTGGAAAAGTGAGTGGAAAAGTCTTGAAGGAATAAAATTTCAGAACAGAAAATGTGATTGTACAAAAAATACTGGAACGCTGTGGTGGTGGGGAGGGCAGGGGCAGAACTGCTCTGCAACTTCAGCACACTTCTGCATGCTTCAGGCATTTGATCATAAATCTTTAAGAACGTAATTTTCAAATGCAATTAAACACTGCAGTCAACTTGAACAAACCATTGCACAAATACTGAGCCACAAGATACCAGCGAGTTCAACCAGCAAAAGACAGCGATGCCTTCAAGGCCAGAAATATTCTACAATACTTCTAGACCCACTGAGAAATC